TCAGTCGTCCTGGTCCATTTGCAGAAAAACAGCCCCAAAGCATGATGTTTCCACCCCCATGCTTCACAGTAGGTATGGTGTTCTTTGGATGCAACTCAGCATTCTTTGTCCTCCAAACACGACGAGTTGAGTTTTTACCAAAACGTTCTATTTTGGTTTCATCTGACCATATGACATTCTCCCAATCCTCTTCTGGATCATCCAAATGCACTCTAGCAAACTTCAGACGGGCCTGGACATGTACTGTACACGTGGTCCTCTGTAGCTCAGCTGGTAGAGCACGGCGCTTGTAACGCCAAGGTAGTGGGTTCGATCCCCGGGACCACCCATACACAAAAATGTATGCACGCATGACTGTAAGTCGCTTTGGATAAAAGCGTCTGCTAAATGGCATATTATTATATTATTACTGGCTTAAGCAGGGGGACACGTCTTGCACTGCAGGATTTGAGTCCCTGGCGGCGTAGTGTGTTACTAATGGTAGGCTTTGTTACTTTGGTCCCAGCTCTCTGCAGGTCATTCACTAGGTCCCCCCGTGTGGTTCTGGGATTTTTGTGATTATTTTGACAACACGGGGTGAGATCTTGCGTGGAGCCCCAGATCGAGGGAGATTATCAGTGGTCTTGTATGTCTTCCATTTCCTAATAATTGCTCCCACAGTTGATTTCTTCAAACCAAGCTGCTTAACTATTGCAGATTCAGTCTTCCCAGCATGGTGCAGGTCTACAATTTTGTTTCTGTTGTCCTTTGACAGCTCTTTGGTCTTGGCCATAGTGGAGTTTGGAGTGTGACTGTTTGAGGTTGTGGACAGGTGTTTTTTATACTGATAACAAGTTCAAACAGGTGCCATTAATACAGGTAACGAGTGGAGGACAGAGGAGCCTCTTAAAGAAGAAGGTACAGGTCTGTGAGAGCAAGAAATCTTGCTTGTTTGTAGGTGACCAAATACTTATTTTCCACCATAATTTGCAAATAAATTCATAAAAAATCCTACAATGTGATTTTCTGGATTTTTTTTCCTCAATTTGTCTGTAATAGTTGACGTGTACCTATGATGAAAATTACAGGCCTCTCTCATATTTTTAAGTGGGAGAACTTGCACAATTGGTGGCTGACTAAATACTTTTTTTCCCCACTGTATGTTGTCACGAGTGTGATGTCTAATTTCAACATCTCCATTTATCTGAATTCCAATTTATCAACACCAATTGTAACATCTGAGCATCAATTCCGTTGACACAATCCCTTCACTTCTTCATTTCTGCCCACTCCCTTTTCAGACAAAATCCTTTATTTGACTCAGGATGATGCTGTGCCTGCCTACTGCACTGCATGTCTAAATCATGTTTTATTGTCCTAGTGTTTGTACCAACACAAACCACTCTAGTGGCTATTCCCCTCTCTACAGTTTTAAACACTTGATGATGAGGCAGAGGCCTAGGAACATGATGTCACATCAACACCATCATCCCTTCTGGACCCACTCCAATTTGCATTCCGCCACAACAGATCCACAGATGACGCAATCTCTATTGCACTCCACACTGCCCTTTCCCACCTGGACAAGAGGAACACCTATGTGAGAATGCTGTTCATTGACTCCAGCTCAGCATTCAACACCAAAGTGCACACCATTCTTCTTGCACAGGTCTTTGCTGCACAGCTTGGCTGCTGAAGTGACATTGGTGACATAGTAGCCTAAAGGGCCGTTAATATACTTCTTCACGGCCAGGCAGTTTCTCTGGAGGTACACGTAGACAGGCAGAAACACAAATACATTGTGATGAACAGGATAAGTATAGGTGTCACTGTAAGTATAGCTACAAATAGGCCTGCAGTTAAATGGAAATAGTAGTTATGTTGAATGAACCTTCCTTCTGTCACCCACAGTATGTTCATTACTTCATGTACAGATCTAGGATCTTAATTTGAGCCAGTTTGCTACAGCAGGAAAATAATGCTGCAGCAACAGGAAATGTATATTATTATGTGGATTATAATTAATTTACATTTTTGTAGGGGTTGATATATTTTTTGTTAGGGCAAATCAAGTCTGACATTTTAAAGTGGAGATTACAAACTTTAGAAACCTTTTAAAACCTTGAATACACTACAAGTTTGGATTTCCTGCTGTGCAGGAAAATGCTCAGCGACAAAAAAGCAATCAAATTAAGATCCTACATCTGTACTAACTATCCCTTGACTTGCTTCTCTTTTCTTCTCTAATTCATTGCCACTTAAAACTGGTATAGAGGGAATCAAGGCTTAATCATTAAATGTGCCATCTGATACACAGAATGAGTTTGGTAAAAACATATCATCATTTGAATACAAATTAGTGGAAATATTCCTCCTTTAAATCCTTAACCCTGTATAGGTGTAGGATCTTAATTTGATCACTATTTTGTTGCTGAGAATTTACTTGCACCGCAGATGAGCTTAATGATTTACATAAATTAACTGAAAACTCGCACTAACACATGGTTCTATTACCAGTATTGCACTTTTCATGTAGCCTAATTTTGGCTAGCTAATAGCCTAACCACCGACTAAATGTTAAAATCTTGTTCTGCAGGATAATCTTTCTGACACAATACTGGTCAAATTAAGATTCAACATCTGTATATAATGCAAATTTATCCACATCCACACTTCATGTATTACTGATGTGCCTATTGTAAACAGAATGCAAAAGGACCCACAAAATCATTTTCCAACAGAACACCACAGCACCGTCTGTCTGATATAAATCAGGCCATTTCCAAGGCTCCTAATCTCATAAACCACAGTGACTGTGCTGAAACATACTATTTCAGGAGACACTGAGAACTGGCTAGGAAGGGAATCCCACGTTGAAAGTGCTTGACGTCATGTCCTATCATGGAACCCTGTAGACACTCACAGCTCTTGCTTACTTCATGCAACAAGACATTATTATGTAATTTTAATGATATTTTATATGCATTAACGTTGAAGCATATAGAGGCACACTTTTTTCTTAACCAGCACTAACACATCTGATTCAACTAATCATGGGTTTGATGATTAGTTGAAATAACGTGTTGCCAGGAAATAACAAAACTGTGCCCCACTGTGGATCCAAGGGAGCCGGGATTAAGAAACCCTACTCTATGGAACAAAAACATTTTTTTTTGTTTCATATTGCATTTAGAGTTTGAGCATATTCAGAGGAGCCCCAAATACCAGTCCTGACGCCCCAAGAGCTGCATTCTCTCCAATAGTGTCACTCTAGGAGAGATATAAGAGAAGATGTAACACTCCAAACACAGTCTCCCCCTCAAGTCAGAGTATGGTGAGGTCAATGCTTGACCTGCTCTAGTGTCCAATGTTGGTTGGTATACTGTCATGTTTTACCTCTTGACCCCTGAATGTCAAAATAGAGATCATGGCCCAGTCTAGAACCAGCCCCTAGCACCTACTCTCTAGGCACTTTTATACACCTTAAAGGTTTAGATAGATAAGCAATATCCCACCCAGGCAATCAGAGGGCAAGGTGGAAATGTTATATTGCTCATACAGTGCCTTCGGAAAGTATTCAGACCCCTTGACTTTTTCCACATTTTGTTATGTTACAGCCTTATTCTAAAATGGATCAAATAAATACAAATCCTCAACAATCTACACACAATACCCCATAATGACAAAGCGAAAACAGGCTTTTAGAATTTTTGCAAATGAATCAAAAAAACAAAAGCATAAATTACTTATTTACATAAGTATTCAGACCCTTTGCTATGAGACTCGAAATTGAGCTCAGGTGCGTCCTGTTTCCATTGATCATCCTTGAGATGTTTCTACAACTTGATAGGAGGTCCACCTGTGGTAAATTCAATTGATTGGACATGATTTAGAAAGGCACACGCCTGTCTATATAAGGTCCCACAGTTGACAGTGCATGTCAGAGCAAAAACCAAGCCATGAGGTCGAAGGAATTGTCCGTAGAGCTCCGAGACAGGATTGTGTCGAGGAACATATCTGGGGAAGGGTAGCAAAACATTTTTGCAGCATTGAATGTCCCCAAGAACACAGTGGCCTCCATCATTCTTAAATGGAAGAAGTTTGGAACCACCAAGACTCTTCCTAGAGCTGGCTGCCCGGCCAAACTGAGAAACATTTCTAAAAACCTGTTTTTGCTTTGACATTATGGGGTATTGTGTGTAGATTGATGAGGAATAAAAACAATTTAATCAATTTTAGAATAAGGCTGTAACCTAATAATATGTGGAAAAAGTCAAGGGGTCTGAATACTTTCCGAAGGCACTGTACGTAACTATCCAGTTCTTTCAGATTTACTCAAGTGCCTAGGGGTTAGGCACTAGGGTTTTTTTCTGGACTAAACCCATGTGTTGTAAATCAATTAAAGGTCATGTGAGCTCTTGTAGCTGAGACTGAGCATTCCACTCATAGCCCTGTGGCAGTTCCAGAAGCTTTGGGTGATTAATAGCTTTTTATCCACCACACTGTCTAGGGGGCAGAACATGGGGGGAGACGAGACAAGTCACTTGACAGAAAAATGCTGAGGTTAGGTAGTTTATCACAATGACTGACAGGCAATAAAATGCTTGCAGCAATGAGAAAAATAGCTAACTTTTGAAAACGTGTTGGAATATTTATCCTTGTCCTAACATCTATTTTTGCTCTTGAACCAACAGCAACGGAGGTTATCAGTTTCCCAATATCACCAGTTATTAGTAATCCTTCTCACCTCTGAGAGGACCGTGAAGGTGTAAGCGTAGAAGGGTCTGGAGTAGACAAATACGGGTAGCGTGAAGTCAGTGCATGTGATGGACACAATCCTTATGGCTTCAGATGGGGTAGTGGACAAACTTGACTGTGTTGGCTGTGGACTTGAGTTCGTAGTAGGTACATGGAGGGGTAGAGGGCTGTGCTCTCCCTTCAAAGCCACATCAGGTGTTCATTACGGACGTGCTCCACGCTGGGACATTCACTCGTGTAGCGATGCGGTGTGTCTTGACGCCTTAGCTTTTGCAGCCGGAGAACAGGTTGAAGCCCCAGATGCCGTCAGGTTGTTGACTTTCGGCTAACAGTAGAGTATTGTTCATGAAGGCCTGTCCAGCCCTCTCAAATGCCTCCAAACCTAACTCCTCCTCCACCTTGATCTCAGGCCAGCCTAGATGGAGCTTACGGATCTGCTCCTTGGACTTATTGCAGAAGATGCCCTTGGAGCCCCAGTTGCGCACCCACTGGGGCCTCCAGTTCTCCCAGTCAATGACACCCAGGCCTCGGAAGTCCTTGTGGATGATGAGCTTGTCACTGTCAGCCCTGGTCTTGCTCAGGTGCTTGGACAGGCTCTGGTTCTGTGGCAGGCCCCCGTTGATGGGGTTCCCAGAGCTGGCGTAGTAAGGGTAATAGCCCAGGTGGCTGTGGTAGATGGTGACATTAGGTCCGCTAAGGGTCTCGTTGAGGTTGGTCACGATGTCGATGACACTGAGGTTTAGGTTCACCTTGAAGTGAAGGTGGCAGGACTCTGTGGAGGCGTTCCACACCACGATGAATGGCCGGGGGGTGTTCCACACCACTATGAAGGGGGGCCAGGGGGCGTTTCACACCACTATGAAGGGGGGCCAGGGGGCGTTCCACACACTATGAAGGGGGGCCAGGGGGCGTTCCACACCACTATGAAGGGGGGCCAGGGGGCGTTCCACACCACTATGAAGGGGGGCCAGGGGGCGTTCCACACCACTATGAAGGGCCGGGGGGCGTTCCACACCACTATGAAGGGCCGGTGAGGGATCAGAGGCACCTGGGAATGCTTCATCTGCTCACCTACTGGCCCCTTCCCTGACCCCAACCCACAACGCCACCACCAGCAGACAGAGGTCAATCAGTGCCATCGCCCACATGGATCAATTGATCATCCTATCTCACATCAAAAGGAAAAAGGACAGGAGAGAAATCACCACACCTTTTTGGGGGAAAATGTAAACACATCATGGGTTTAAGTGATAATCAGTGGGGCTGGTGAAAGGACAAGTGAGTGAGGATCACTGAGCTGCACTGCTAAAGATTCCACACACTGTTCTTCAAAGAGAAAGGTGCAATTTGACTTGTCAAGCTCTGTCAAGTCTGCCGTGCTTGGTTTGTCATGTACATGCATGCCTACATTTCCCTGACAAAGATGTATTGAGTTGGCCTTCATTAATGTGACCACAATAAAGATATTTACATATCAAAGTGGGCCTTAATAAGAACTGGTGTGTCAGTTGTATGTTGACAATGATTCCTCACTCATGCACACCAACACACACACACACACACACACACACACACACACAAGCTCTCTCTCTCACACACACAAACACACTATCCAAGTGGGGACCAAAACATTTATTCCCATTCAAAATGATATTTTCTCTAACCCTAAACCTAACCCTTAACCAAACCCTTAACCCTAACACTAAGCCCAAACCTCTAACCCTAAAACTAAACCTAACCCTAAATCCTAACTCTATAAATAAGCATGCCCCATTCAAACAATTCAGAACTAAGAACAGATATAGCCCCTGGTTCTCCTCAGACTTGACTGCCCTTGACCAGCACAAAAACATAGTGTGGCGTAATGCATTAGCATCGAACAGCCCCCGCGATATGCAACTTTTCAGGGAAGTCAGGAACCAATATACACAATCAGTTAGGAAAGCAAAGGCTAGCTTTTTCAAACAGAAATTTGCATCCTGTAGCACTAACTCCAAACAGTTTTGGGACACTGTAAAGTCCATGGAAAATAAGAGCACCTCCTCCCAACTGCCCACTGCACTGAGGCTAGGAAACACTGTCACTACCGATAAATCTACAATAATCGAGAATTTCAACAAGCATTTTGCTACGGCTGGCCATGCTTTCCACCTGGCTACCACTACCCCGGCCACCAGCTCAGCTTCTCCTTCACACAAATTCAGACAGCTGATGTTCTGAAAGAGCTGAAAAATCTGGACCCCTACAAATCAGCTGGGCTAGACAATCTGGACCCTTTCTTTCTAAAATTAGCCGCCGAAATTGTCGCAAATCCTATTTCTAGCCTGTTCAACCTCTCTTTCGTAACGTCTGAGATCCCCAGAGATTGGAAAGCTGCCGCGGTCATCCCCCTCATCACACTCTAGATCCAAACTGTTACAGACCTATATCCATCCTGCCTTGCCTTTCGAAAGTATTTGAAAGCCAAGTTAACAAACAGATCACCGACCATTTCGAATCCCACCATACCTTCTCCGCTATACAATCTGGTTTCCGAGCTGGTCATGGGTGCACCTCAGCCACGCTCAAGGTCCTAAACGATATTATAACCGCGATCGATAAAAGACAGTACTGCGCAGCCGTCTTCATCGACCTGGCCAAGGCTTTCGACTCTGTCAACCACCGCATTCTTATTGGCAGACTAAATAGCCTTGGTTTATCTAATGACTGCCTCGCCTGGTTCACCAATTACTTCTCAGATAGAGTTCAATGTGTCAAATCGGAGGGTCTGTTGTCTGGACCTCTGGCCGTCTCTATGGGGGTGCCACAGGGTTCAATTCTCGGGCCGACTCTATTCTCTGTGTATATCAATGATGTTGCTCTTGCTACTGGTGAAGCTCGGATCCACCTCTATGCGGGCGACACCATTTTGTATACATCTGGCCCTTCATTGGACACTGTGTTAACAAACCTCCAAACGAGCTTCAACGCCATACAACACTCCTTCCCTAGCCTCCAACTGCTCTTAAACACTAGTAAAACTAAATGCATGCTCTTCAACCGAACGCTGCTTGCACCCGCCCACCCGGCTAGAATCATTACTCTCGGCGGACCTAGAGTATGTGGACAACTACAAATACCTAGGTGTCTGGTTAGACTGTAAACTCTCCTTCCAGACTCACATTAAGCATCTCCAATCAAAAGTTAGATCTAGAATCGGCCTCCTATTTCGCAACAAAGCCTCCTTCACTCATGCTGCCAAACATGCCCTCGTAAAACTGACTATCCTACCGATCCTTGACTTCGGCGATGTCATTTACAAAATAGCCTCCAACACTCTACTCAGCAAATTGGATGTAGTCTATCACAGTGCCATCCGTTTTGTCACCAAAGCCCCATATACTACCCACCATTGTGACCTGTACGCTCTTGTTGGCTGGCCCTCGCTACATATTAGTCGCCAAACCCACTGGCTCCAGGTCATCTATAAATCACTGCTAGGCAAATCCCTGTCTTACCTTAGCTCACTGGTCACCATAGCAACACCCACCCGTAGTCTGCGCTCCAGCAGGTATATCTCACTGGTCATCCCCAAAGCCAACACCTCCTTTGGCCGCCATTCCTTCCAGTTCTCTACTGCCAATGACTGGAACGAACTGCAAAAATCTCTGAAGCTGGAGACTCTTATCTCCCTCACTAAATGTAAGCGTCAGTTGTCAGAGCAGCTTACCGATCACTGCACCTGTACACAGTCATTCTGAAATTAGCCCACCCAACTACCTCATCCCCAGTATCTCTATTTGCACATCATCTATCATTCCAGTGTTAATACGAAATTGTAACTATTTTGCACTATGGCCTATTTATTGCCTTACCTCCATAACTTACTACATTCGCACACACTGTATATTTTCTGTTTATATTTTTGACTTGATGTTTTGTTTACCCCATATGTAACTCTGTGTTGTTGTTTTTATTGCACTGCTTTGCTTTATCTTGGCCAGGTCGCAGTTGTAAATGAGAACTTGTTCTCAACTGGCTTACCTGGTTAAATAAAGGTGAAATAAAATAAAAAATAAAAAACCCTAATCTCAACCCCTAACATTAATTCTAACCCCTAAACCTAAAATAGCATTTTTCTTTTTGGGGACCTCCGAAATGTCGCCACTTGTCCATGTTTAACTATCCTTGTGAGGACTTTTTAACCCATAAAGATAGTAAAGTTAGACCACACACACACACATATGCTCACTCTTTTCTAGAAAACTCTTTCCAGCTTCTTATGTAAGATGCCCCCACATCTAATTGCAATTGGCGCCCTCTCTCATTGCAGCAGTTCCCTTTTTCCGAGTGCAGAGAGAGAAACCATGACCCCACTCTCGGGATACATGGCTACTGAGGTTGTCTCCAAGAGAGACATGGAAACTCAGCCGTCATTTTTGCCCACCGCTAATACGAAGCAGGAGAGAGGGAAACCACTGATGGGAATGTGATTGCTCCATTAATTTAAGAATTCACTCACTTCTAGGAGAGCAGCTTTGTATATATATATATAGGCAATAGGCACATTGTATGTTGTCATGACAATAATCAAGATAGATTTCAGTATAACTTTGACCAGTAACTGATTCTGGGGGGTTTTCAAACTTATTTTGTTATGTATTCATAAATGTTTCAAACCAGAAAGAACCAAATGGTTGTTGTTGTTGTTGTGGGTAATTATCTACAGTGCCATTCCACAGAATTCATGAATATGAATATGTAGTTATAACTGAAGAGGAAAAGGCTTTAGGCAGGGAGTCCTGTACCATGCTTTGTAGGTCAAACTGTACAGTAATCCCTGCCCAAGACAAACAGTCTGTGGTGAAGTCTCTCAGGCCGTCATCAAACCACAACTAGTCCCAATGCCTCCAGAAACACCACTCGCCCTGGCCACTGAAAAGACCCCCCCATAAAAACAATGTCTGAGTCAAAACGGACAACAGACTCCACATTTGATGTCATGTCTTTCCTCAAATAGACACAATTGCACTCAAACGGGAGCCAAGTCTCCTGACTGTGCTGATTGATTCCAGATGAATGTAGCAGTGGTGAACTTTGCGAATGGAAGCTAACCCTTCTCTCAAAACGTAAATGAGCTGACAAAGCAAGTATCCTAATCACTTGCTATAGGATAGCATGATCTGTCCGTGTACATTTGGACTATGTTCAATCAGTCATTATAAAAACGTTATAAATGATCCTCTATTAGTGTCATTACTTAGTAATACTGACAGATATGTCTTGTATCAACACTAGCTTTCAGATCATATAACTTTCATACTTTGACATATGAACTGCAATTTTGCACGTTAACCACACATGGTAAATCATCAAACAATTTTAGTTTCTTCCCATAAAATGCTGGGAGCAGCTGAAATGAAATTAGTCCCTCGCTAATAGTTTGTGGTAAGAATTTGTTTTATCTCTGGCATATCGTCACCATGTGTGTGCAATTGGCATATATGTTGGTCAGGACAACTTATCCTCAGCCATGGGGCTACATGAAGACCGTGTTCATCCATGTGTTTAATTCACAGGCTGTTCATGTAATTTGGAAAATATGTGACCAACCTTGGAAGTAAATGACCCATCTTTAAGTACCATAGCTACGAGCTCTGGCCTCTGTGTAGAACAATCATAATCATTATATCGCAATTACATTAATTGGATAGTGTTTACAGTAACATTTGCGCGACAAAACTGTGTATCCTAATGTGTGTGTATGTGTTTATGTCTGTGTGTCCGGATGTGTGCGTATTCAGGTGTGTGTGCAGGTGTGAGTGCATGCATGTGTAGTGGCCAGCACTGCACTGTCTGTGGATCTTTTTGTCAATATGTGAATGTGCTTCTGGGGGAGCTGGGATGGCGTGAGGTTGAATGTCGAAAAGAACGAGTGTGGAAATAAAAGTAAACATGTGGAGACACTAATCTGCACCACCAGTCCCGGGAAAAACAGATGAGTCAGACTCTTTCTCTGCTTACTTTGGATCCAGCACTAGTCTAGTCAGCATCCAGGGAGATGTTTATTGATGCTATCCCTGCGATCTGCATATCATATGTAAGGTCTTTCACTTTTCCACCGTGTGTGTCTGTGTTTCTATCTGTGCAATCATGGGTCTGACAACTG